ATGAAATAATATGATAACTCAGATTTGCTCAAAATTATTCAGTGGTGGGGTGGGAGAAGTGGGAAGCGAGGGAGCAGTGTGCAGGTGAAACACAGCTGGCCAGGAGTTGATCATGGTTGAAGCTGGATGATGGGTACTTAGGAGTTCATCATCATTTTCTCTTTATTTTTGAATATGTGTGAAAATAACAAAAAGTTGTTTGTGTGTTTTTTTAATCCTTGTCTCACCATGCATACCAAAAATTTCTAGATGGATTAAAACTCCAATGTATAAAAGGAGCCACACAGCCTGAAGTATTCACATGCTACCAAGTCATTGTCAGTTCATGGTATTATAGCTATTTGTTTAAAGCCCTTAATTAAAAATAAAATGTTCTGGACTTGTAAAAAAAAAAAAAAGGATATCACAAAGTACTAAAGGAAACCTACATAACTGTTTATATAATCTCTGGGTAGGGATGAACTTCCTAAGCATGACAACAAAATCAGAAATCCTAAAGATCTTACTGAAGCAAACTGTAAAACAAACTGTAAATAGGATATCAATAAAGACCCTAAACAAAAGTAAAAGCCAGTCCACACATTTGAGAAAAATAATTGTAGTATATAAATGACAAAGCATCAATATAATGAGAAGCCTTTGCAAATCAATAAGAAAATATGAATGTTCAGTGTAACAGTGTGCAAAGTAGCGCACGGGCAAGTCACCAAAGAGATACAGCTGACTGAAGAATGTGTGAAAAGATGTCCAGCCATAGTAATGAAAGAAATGCAAGTGAAACAGCCTGGCCACTTTTCACTTTCAAATTGGCAGGAGTGCAGTGAGGCCAGCATGTGAAGCTGAGGAGTTTGGCTGCAGTTGATGGACGATGGGGAGCCATTGAAGGAGCATGAGCAGGAGTCATCTGTAGACAGAGGAACCTGCTGCCCTATGTAGGATGGAATGGAGCTGTGAGACTGAAGGCTGGGCAGCGGTCCAGGTGTGAGGAGGAGCACAAAACAGAAGACAGTTGGGTTGAAAGCATTTGAGGAAAAATCCGCAGGTCTCAGTGGTTAGCAGAGAGCGTGAAATCAAGATGGCCAGTGGTGTGGTATGACTGGGAGGACAGTGGCACCATTGAGGGAAACAGGGATGCTGGGGAATGGGCGAGGGGAAGTCCAAGGTTTGTTTTTTGACACTGTGGGTCGTTGTGTTAGACTGAGTCTCATTACTAGTGACTGGCGGCCCACTCAAACAATTTAAAGCCACAAAAAGAATTTGCTGCTTCACACAATTGGCAAGTCCTGGGTGAAAGTTCCAGGCACATCTGGATCTGGATGCTCAAGGGATGTCATCAGGAGTCTTTTTCTTTGGGCCCAAAGAGAGGATGGAAATGGCCACAAGCAGCTTCAGGTTCACATTCCACCAGCTGAGCACAGGTGCTGCAGTGGCTGAACTCATTCCTGAATGATCACTGCGACTGATGGACAGGCTGAGGTCACAGGCGCTCCCCTAGGGCTAGGGGGTGGGGTCAGCCCACCCAAACAACATTGATCCAGAGTGGGGGGAATGGTTCTCCAAGGGAAAATTGGGGTCCATCTACAAAGGGGGACTGGAGCTGAGCAGCAAAATCAATACTTGTCCACTACATCTCCTCGCCTGTCCAAGGGCTACACAGATACCCCTTCTGGTATAATTTTTTAAAAATTTTCCCTGTTTATCATAATGCAACTATCCCTCACAAAACTTAAAACATACTTGTCCCATCTCCAGAAAGAGACGTTCCAAGTTCTCACCCACTTCCCACGCCCAGCCCCAACGCAAGATCTTGGCGATGGGCTGTTTGTCAGGTACTGAGCCAGCCCCTCATGGTCTTTCAGTTTATGGCCAGACTACAAAGATGGGGGAAAAATCGGATAGCTGAAAACACAAAACCCTCCCAGCTGAAGAGGGAAGATGAGGACAAACACTCGGTGCTCACAGGTCCATAGCATAGTCCACATGCTGGACCAGTGCGCGAGGACGAGGTTTCCTGGCCACCAATGGGCCCCTCTGGTTCTGCAGTCTCAGAGAGCCTTTCTTGTTCTTCATGCCCTGTGGCCACATGCGAAAGGGGCATCAAGAGGGTCACCTACCATTGGTGCAGTTTTGGGGGGTAGGGAGCTTTGGGGGCTGAGTAATCCCCGGCCTTTGTTTTCCAGGTTTGCGTTTTTTTCTGGCAATACAATTCCCCTAATCACTCGGAGGCTTTCAGTCAATCTGCATTCGGTTATCCCCAGAGCTATTAGCCAAACTAGAGACCTCGCTGAAAGTTATAATTCTTGAATCGAGTCCCTGTGGCGGTGTTGAGGGAGGAGGGAGGTTGTCTTAGCAACAGGCCTTGGTGCTCTGCCCATTGCAGGAGCCCATGGTTCTGTGGCCTCTAGCTGGGCCCCTGCCTCAGGGCAATGGGTGGGAGTTGGAGCTTGGCTGCCCCTTCCCACTCAAGCTGCATCCCAGTGGAACATGGGTCAAGCTGGAGGGCACAGCAGGAGGAGTCCAGAGCCTGTCGGGCCCCAGGTTTGCCTCCTTCTGTGTTTCCAGCCTGCCTGTCTTTGCTTGAGCTGACTTTAGCTAGAAGCAGAAAACGGGCTCTTAATTATCTTACTCTCAGCCATATTGGATTACTGGCCTCAGGCAGAAAGGGCCTCTCTGGGCAAAGTAGCATTTTCTTCCTCTCTGCTTTCAGATGGGCCCCTTTAGCCAGTGTCTCTCTTTTTTGTTGGACCTGAGGCCATGGGAAAGGCCATGCCCCAACATCTTGACCTTCTACAGGTCCCCTAAAGTTCCAGCCTTGTAGGAACATCGTCTGAGCTCCAGAGGCTGCGGGAGAGTTTCATTAGCTGTTTCGCTGCTGTGCAGCAGGGTTCGCCAACTTCTGAGGGGGGGAAGTGTATCTTACTCCTCTCCTTAGTTCCACTAAGTCCTTCTTAGCGTCTATTACTTGAAAAAAAAAATCCATTTCTGATTCTAATTTCTGGGTTAGGACTTTTTCCTGGTGCAGGTAACACAGACCCAACTCCAACTGGCTTAAGCAAGAAAGGGAATTGATCAGCTCACATAACTGAGCAGACCCGGATCTCAAATGGGGTCTGTGAGGAATCTTTCCCCATTTTAATTCTGCTCTCTGTGTGGGCTTCATTCTCAGGTAGTTCCTCTCAAAGGAGACAAAGATGGCCCTAGCAGCTCTGGCCCTCCCCATCAGCGTAGAAAGCTGAGCACAAAGAGGGGGCATTCCCTCAGTAGTTCCAGAGAAGTCTTTGGGACATAACTCACTGACTCAATGAAAAAAGATTTATTGGCTCAACTTGGGTGATCTGTACCCATCCTGGGACTCTGATGGGCCAGGCCTATATCACATTCTTACCCCTGGAGCCAGACATGGACCATCAACCCTCCACCCCCACCCCTAGACCATGTGGACTGAGAAGGTGGGAAAGATGGTTCCCCAAGGTCAAAGCAGGGTGCTGTTACCAGGAGATGACTGGGTGCTGGGCTGGCAAAGGAAAACAGACATCCACCCATACATCCATGTGGAAATGCCAGAATGCAAATGGAACTCAAGAGCAGGTCAGGATGGAGGGGTAGAGCTGAGAGTCAATGGCTTAAAGGTGTGAATGAACCTGTGGGAGTGAACCAAACTGCCTGTGGAGAAGACAGAGGCAAAGAGAGTGTGAAGGCAGACCTCCCATCAGGAGACAGGAAGATTAAGGCAGCAAGAAGAGGAGGTCAGAGAATCCAAACGGGGCAGCTTCATGGCAGCCTAAGAAAACGGAGAGGTCAGTAGTATCAGCCAAGGCACCAAGTGGGTGAAGACCCTTAATGACAATTGGATTGTCTGATTAGCAGGTGGTCTGTGACCTGGAGGAGGGCAGCGACAGCAGAGGGTGGTTGAAGCCCAATTAAATGCCAGTGAGGAATGGAGTAGAGATCCCACGAGGCAGGAGGGGGTGACTGGAAGCCAGAGATGAGGGGGGATAGGCAGGGGGGGTTGAGGGTGACCAGGGGTAGGATGCCAGGAAGGGTGGTGGCTTGTGCCAGAAGGGGCCTGGAGAGGACAAACATCGTGGCTCTGGGGGCAAAGGGCAAGGCAGGGGCACTGACCTAGTAAAGAAATCTGAGAAAAGGACCTAGGTGCCTGGAGTGGCAGGGATGGGAGGGTGTGGTCCATAAGCAGGACCACAAACAGTGACACACACACAGGTATCATCAGGTGAGGTGACATCTTGGTCACTGCAACATGGTACCAATAGCCAACCTGTCTGATGGGTGTGGTTTGCATGATATGGAATGAGCATCCTCTTTTAAGGATTTTACAGCCACGTACATATTGTACATTAATCTTAAGTGTACAGCTTGACTGTTTACATATGTATACACCTGTATAACCACCACTCATACCAAGATACAGACCATTTTCAGCATCACATAAGCTTCCCTCTTGCCCCCTCCCAGTCCATATAGCCCCCAGGGACAAGCTCTGTTCTGATTTCTATCATCATCAATTCGGTCTGTTCTTGAACTCTCGCTATGGAATCCTACAGTATGCATGCACTCTTTGGTCTGACTTCTTTCAGTGCAACATAATACCGAATGGATTCATCCATGTTGTTGCATGAACAAGTAGTTCCTTCTCTTAATGCTGGGTAATATTCCATTATGAATATACCATAATTTATCCATTCTACTGGTGATGGGCACTTAGGTTATGTCCAGGTTGGAACTATTATAAGTAAAACGAATGCCTTTTTTTTCCTTAAAGAATTCTCATTCATTCTCTCTTTCGTACATGTAAAGGCCCTCGCAGAGGTACCAGAATGGCCAGCCCCCTCAGAGAAGTCAGGCCATTGGTCTCCCCTCCCCCTTCCATTCTGGGCACATGTTTCCTGGGGAAGGCAATTTCCTCACGGGTGGGGGATATGTGGTTGAGGGAGCGGGGAGCAGGGATGCCACCCTCCTAAGACTTACTCCCTCTCTTCTAGCCTCCTCGTCCCTGGCCGCAGACACCTTGAGCCTTCCTGACCCCGCAGGGGGGCTCGCCCGCAGCCCCCCATGAGCGCGCCCGGCTGACCGGCGGGGCGGCCGCGGTGGAGCCCGGGCGCCGCGGGGGCGGCGGGGCCATGGCCTCGCTGGACCTGCCGTACCGCTGCCCCCGCTGCGGGGAGCACAAACGCTTCCGGAGCCTGTCGTCGCTGCGCGCACACCTGGAGTACAGCCACACCTACGAGACGCTCTACATCCTCTCCAAGACCAACAGCATCTGCGACGGCGCTGCAGCCGCGGCGGCCGCCGCCGCCGCCTCGGGCTTCCAGCTGGCGCCCGAGCCCGCCGCCCTGCTGGCCGTGCCCGGCGCCCGCCGCGAGGTCTTCGAGAGCACGTCCTTCCAGGGCAAGGAGCAGGCCGGGCCGTCGGCCGCAGCGCCACACCTGCTGCACCACCATCACCACCACGCGCCCCTCGCGCACTTCCCCAGCGACCTGGTGCCCGCGAGCCTGCCCTGCGAGGAACTCGCTGAGCCGGGCCTGGTGCCCGCCGCCGCCGCGCGCTACGCGCTGCGCGAGATCGAGATCCCGCTGGGGGAGCTGTTCGCCCGCAAGTCCGTGGCCTCCTCGGCGTGCTCGACGCCGCCGCCCGGGCCCGGCCCCGGCCCTTGCTCCGGGCCCGCCTCCGCCTCGCCCGCGTCCCCCTCGCCTGCAGATGTGGCTTACGAAGAGGGTCTGGCGCGCCTTAAGATCCGCGCGCTGGAGAAGCTGGAGGTGGACCGGCGGCTGGAGCGGCTGAGCGAGGAGGTGGAGCAGAAGATCGCGGGCCAGGTGGGCCGGCTGCAGGCAGAGCTGGAGCGCAAAGCGGCGGAGCTGGAGACGGCGCGGCAGGAGAGCGCGCGGCTGGGGCGCGAGAAGGAGGAGCTGGAGGAGCGCGCGTCCGAGCTCTCGCGCCAGGTGGACGTGAGTGTGGAGCTGCTGGCCTCGCTCAAGCAGGACCTGGTGCACAAGGAACAGGAGCTGAGCCGCAAGCAGCAGTGAGTGGCCCACAGGGCCCTGTGGGTGGATGTGCCTGTGAGTGTTCCAGGGTGGGTGACCATGTGTGTCACTGTGCTGCCACCACCACCGTGAGTGTGGCTGTGAGTGTGTCAGTGTATGCCGCCATGGCTCTGTAATATGGGATCTGTGGCCGTGAGCATGTGATGGTGGTGCGTATGGGGCCAAGAGTTTCATGACAGTGTCTGTTTGGGACTATGAGTCCGTGGCAGTGTGACTGCGTGCCTGTCTGTGAAGACTGTTTCTCTTCCTTCTCTGTCCTAGCCAAGGCCAGCCCTTCATTGTGACACCAGATCCCCTCAATTCTCCCCTCTGTCTTTGCCCTATCAGATTTTCCCTCTCTACTGTGTTGTTCCTGAAAGCATACAAACACAATGTCCCTTCTCCCATGTGCTACAGCCCCCCTCCCCCGTAAGCTACTGCCCCTTCTCTCCTCCTTATAGAGCAACTCCTGGAAAGTATTGTTTATGCTCCTGGTCTCCAATTTCTTTCTCCACTTTCTCTCTTGAACCCACTCTGATTAGGTGTCCACCTCCACCACTGTCCTCCATGTCACCAACGACCTTCATGTTGCCAAGGCCAAGCCGACATCTTCTTTGGGCCATCAGCAGCATTTGACACAGCTGGTCCTTGAAATGCTTTCTTCACTTGGCTTCCAGGACACTCTCCTGGGATTTCCTTCTATCTTATTTTTGCTGCTTCTCAGTCTTCTTTGACGGCTTCTCATTTCTCTGGTCTTTAATTGTGATTGTGAAATATACAGATGTTATGTGTGTGTTCCCATAGTAATATAAGCTCCATGGGGGGCAGGAAATTTTCTCTGCTTTGTTCACTGCTGTATCTCCACTATCCAGAACAGGGCTGGACCTAGAAGGTGCTCCGTAAATGTTGAGTGGATGTGTGACAACTGTGAGTGCATTTGGGAGTAAATACTCACATGACTCTTAAGTGTGAGGTGTGTACATGCAACTCCTGGAGGTTGGTATGCTGTAAATATGCTTCTGCATCGGAGAATGTTTCCGAGAGCGAGAGACAGAGTGTGTGTGTGTGTTGGTGGGACTGTGCCTCAGACTGTGTGTGTGTGCCTGTGAATAAACATGATGTGAGTACATGCACATGAGTGTGTGGGGCTGCATCCTGGGCTATGTATATGTGGCTGTGTGTCTGTAAGTGTGTACTCATGAGTGTTTCTGGAGGGAGGAGGTGGCTGTGTGTGACTGAGTGTGCCTATGAGTACTTCCATGGGGAGCAGCGATGTCTAGCTGTGGGGGGGGTCTGGGTGGGTGAGGTGTGAGTGTGTGACTCTGTGTATATGCTTGCATTTCTGTGTGTGCCATTGTGTGGAACAGTGTGCCTGGGCCTGTTCTGCATGTTCCCCTGTGCCCATGAGTGGACGCCATGGGCAGCTGTGCCCATGTCTCTCCCCACTGGCCAAGGTCTCCTGCAGAGGGTGGGTGGGCAGCCAGGCCAGGGCCCTGGGGTAAGAGACTGCTGCGGGCCCAGGGAGGTGGTGCAGATCGACCAGTTCCTGAAGGAGACAGCGGCGCGGGAAGCCAGTGCCAAGCTGCGGCTGCAGCAGTTCATTGAGGAGCTCCTTGAGCGTGCCGACCGTGCTGAACGGCAGCTGCAGGTCATCAGCAGCAGCTGTGGAAGCACCCCTAGCGCCAGCCTGGGCCGTGGAGGTGGCGCAAGTGGCGCTGGGCCTGGCGCCCGGGGCCCAGGCAGAATGGTAAGTGTTCACCCACCTTCTTCTCTTCACCTGCACACCTAGCCCCCTACATGTCCCCTCCGCCACTGCCTGATGTCACCCCCTGCCCATGATGCTCCATGCTTCCCTTCTTTGGCTCTTCCCCCATGAGCAGATTCCAGGCCTGAAGTAGGGGTCTAGGAACAGGGGAGCCCCTCTGATTGAGCAGAAGTGCCAGCCCCTGAGGCTGTAGCGAGGTGTGATCCAGTGGGCTCAGTCCTCAGGGGCCCTTCTCTGCCCCACCCTGCAAATGAGAGCCCAGGAACTACAATTGGGGTCTCGGGTGCTGGGTGGGTGTGGGGAGGGGGCTGGTGAGCCTGCTTCTCTGGCTGTCTGTCTGTCTATTTGTCCATCTTTCCCAACTGTTTTCCTTCTCTCCATCTTGTGCCCTGTTTCTCTGCTCCTTCCCATCCTCTTGCCTCCTCTGCCCCTCTTCCTTTCCCTCCCACTCTGGGGGCCCACAGCGAGAACACCACGCAGGCCCGGCCATGCCTAGCACATACGCAGTGTCACGGCATGGCTCCTCTCCCAGCACAGGGTAAGCCTCGGGCCTGGCCCGCCCCATGCAGCCCACCCTCACCCTGGAAAGACCCACCGGGCCACTGGATGGCTGGCCCTTCTAGGGGCTTGGCTCCTCCTCCTCCCCCATCCTCCTTGGGTCACCTCTGTCTGCTTCTCCATACTCAGAGGGAGCTCTTGTAAAGTAAGGTGGGTGGGTTGCCCTTGGCTGGTGGTAGGGCTGGGACGGGGGGTTTGGGCAGGCCCAGAACCCCTTGCTCCTCACCATCTGGTCCCCCCCACCTCAGGGCCTCCAGCCGTGTCCCAGCTGCATCCCAGAGCTCAGGCTGCTATGACAGTGACAGTCTGGAGCTGCCCCGGCCAGAAGAGGGGACCCCTGAGGACGGTGGCCCTGGTGGCTTGGGCACACGGGCCCAGGCTGCCAACGGTGGCTCGGAGCGGGCCCAGCTCCCTCGCAGCTCAGGCCTGCGGCGCCAGGCCATCCAGAACTGGCAGCGCAGACCCCGCCGACACAGCACGGAAGGGGAGGAGGGGGACATCTCGGATGTGGGCTCCCGAACTACCGAGTCCGAGGCTGAGGGCCCCTCGGATGCCCCCCGCCCTGGGCCTGCCATGGCTGGGCCGTTGAGCAGCTGCCGGCTCTCAAGTAAGTCCTGGAGGGTGGTCAGAAGGGACCAGTCCTTCCATAGTGCTGGGCCCTCTCAGGGGACACAGGGTCAAGGCAGTAAACCACTTGGGCTCCTGAACCTCCTTTCCCCTTGCCCCAGACTTTCCCACAATGAGAATGTCAGACTCCCTCTTACACAGCGGCCTGCAAGCCTGGGGCAGGAACTCCTGTGCCAGGGCAGTGCTGCACACAGGGACACTCAGGCTGGATATCGCATAAGGATGCCACATCTAAGGGGGTCTGTTCACATGGTGAGCTCATTGACATTTACAGGAGAGTAGCTGAGTGTTGACTCCAGGCTCTGAGGCCCCTGGAGCAGTGGGGAGAGCCCCCTCCTATATATACACAAGGCCATGTGCATTTGTGGGTGGGTCAGGGTCAGGGGATTAGAGGGTTCAGGTCAGGGTTGTGGCTGCATCCCATGTGGCTGCTCCAGGCTGTTCACAGAGGCCCAGTTTCTGTCCATCTAAACTCTAGCCCTCCAAACCCTTTCCTGCTCCAAACTTGACTCAGTTGCTTCATCTAGGGGGTGAGTTTGGGCTATGTGATGATATATGATCTTAAAAAGAAAGTTTACTTGAAGAAAGGATACCTTTTTCTATTTTGCAAAGTTAGGGATGGGGGTGATGCAGAGGAGGGGGAAGCAGAGGGCCCTTGTCCTTCCTCCCAAGTCACTGGTCCCCCAGCATGGGTCTCCTGAAGCTCCCCACCTGCATCTTCATGCTGGCCTTTGACCATCCATACTCACCTTTGACCCTCTGGTATCCTGCAGCCCGACCTGAAGGAGGCAGTGGGCGGGGTCGGCGAGCCGAGAGAGGCAGCCCCTCATGCTCCAACGAGGTCATCAGCCCAGAGATCCTCAAGATGCGAGCCGCCCTGTTCTGCATCTTCACCTACCTGGACACACGCACACTACTGCACGCCGCAGAGGTCTGCCGGGACTGGCGCTTCGTGGCCCGCCACCCTGCCGTCTGGACCCGAGTGCTGCTCGAGAATGCCCGCGTCTGTTCCAAGGTGCCTGTCCCTGCCGGTGGCCCCTGCCTTCCCAGGCACCCCTGCTGAGAACCCAGCTCCAGCCTGGCTCCCAGAAACGCTCTCTGGGGACCTCCTATCCTGAGACTGGTCCACCTCCAGCCAGCCAAGGTCAGAGCCCCTCATCCCCAGGTAACCCCTCTCTCCCTGCAGTTCCTGGCAATGCTGGCTCAGTGGTGCACCCAGGCCCACTCGCTGACACTGCAGAACCTGAAGCCCCGTCAGCGGGGCAAAAAGGAAAGCAAGGAGGAGTATGCCCGGAGCACCCGGTGAGGCCGTGGTGGGCGGGTGGTTGGGTGCTCCTGGGCCGTAGACCCAGAATTATGTGGTGATGCTTCTCAGAGGAGGAGGTGGCCACAAGCAACTCTATGACCTCTTGGCCGTCCCCAGGGGCTGCCTGGAAGCAGGGCTGGAGTCCCTGTTGAAGGCAGCGGGGGGGAACCTGCTGATTCTGCGCATCTCCCACTGTCCCAACATCCTTACCGACCGTTCACTCTGGCTGGCCAGCTGTTACTGCCGTGCCCTGCAGGCCGTCACCTACAGGTGGGTCCACCCCGCCAGATGAAGGCCCATATCTTCTTGGCCTCAGGCCCCAAGGGTCCCTGGGCTCTACATACCCTTTCCCCAGGGCTCTCAGACAAAGGGACCCAAGAGCTCTGCTGGCGGCCCCAGCTTTGTCTTTTCAACAGGAGTGCCACAGACCCTGTGGGCCACGAGGTCATTTGGGCCCTGGGCGCAGGCTGCAGAGAGATTGTCTCCCTCCAGGTGGCACCACTTCACCCCTGGTGAGCCCTGGCAGGGGTAGGAAGGGGACCGGGTTGGGCTGGGGCTGGGGCTGAGGACTGAGCAGATCTGGGCTCATTCCACAAGCTGGTTTGGGGAGAGATTCACACTCATCAGTCTGTGTATTTAGGTGTTAAGAGCAGGGCTTTAAAGTCAGACCTGGGGTCATGTCCTGGCTTACAAGCAGCGTGACTTTGGGCAACCCAATCGTGCCTTAATTTTTCAACCTACAAAGTGAAGGTGATATTAAGGATCTGTTGATCTTATTAGGACTGTTGCTGGCTCAAATGAGATGTATACAGAAAGCCTGCTGGGCCCACAGTAAATGTTCAGTAAACACTAGCTAGAAATAGCAAGGTTTGTTTGGCATGTGAAAGGCAGTTCAAGGAGGTCAGTGTATAACATGCAAGACAGCCGGTTGTTGGCCAACACAGGGTGCGAGATCATTCATCGCTCTACTTGGAGTTCCTCAGACATACCAGCCTTTCTTGCTCCCTGTGCCTTGCCCTCCCAGCCCTCTCTCCACGTGACAACTCCTCCCAGGTCATCCAGTGTCCATTCACTAACACCCAGGTAGAATTGGTCCCCTGCCTCGATTCCTATTGCACTTTGTCCCCACCCCGGCTGCAGTCCATTTTGCAATAATTTCCCTATATTTCAGTCTACACTGGACTCACGGTTCTCAGGGCAGAGGCTGTGAAAGTCCGTTTCCGTATCCCTGGTACCAAGTGCATGGCAGACACCAGAGAGACGGCTGCTGCCTGGGCAAGTGTGGAGGGATGAAGTGTTCAGGGAAACAGCAAGTTTGGTGTGAGTGGTGGGCAGGGCCAAGCAATGAGTGTGGAAAGGAAGGTTGGGTCAAGGTCAGCAAGGACCTTGCCTAAGGGGTTTCGAGTTTTGCTTTTTTGTTTTTTTTTGAGGAAGATTAGCCCTGAGCTAACATCTGCGGCCAATCCTCTTCTTTTTGCTGAGGAAGACTGGCCCTGAGCTAACATCCATGCCCATCTTCCTCTACTTTATATGTGGGATGCCTACCACAGCATGGCTTGCCAAGCAGTGTCATGTCTGCACCTAGGATCCGAACTGGCGAACCCTGGGCTGCGAAGCAGAATGTGCGCACTTAACCGCCGCACCTTTGGGCCGGCCCCTAGAGTTTTGCATTTTATCTAGAAAGTGCTGGGAAGCCACTGGGGGATTTTAGATCTTAAAAAATGGGATTAGATCAGACTGGTAACGTTCTGTGTCCTCCCCTCCCACAGACTGTCCACTTCTTAAGGCCGGGGACCATGTCTGTATAGTTACCACTGTATCCCCAGGGCCTAGCTCAGTTGTTCTTGGCTGTGGTAGACACTTGAGAACGATTTGCTGAGTGACTGAGTGAGAGAATATAGGAATGAATGGCTCACTGTCAGCAGTGCGGAGGATGAACTGGCGGGGAGACCAGTTATCATCCAAATGAATGTTGATGGTGGTCTGAACTGTGGGTTGAAGAGCTATTCAGGGATCAGAACCTACAGGTCCTGGCAGGAGGTGAGGGAGGAAGAGTCAGGGATGATCCCAGGTTTCTGACTTGAGCAGCTGGGTGGTTGGAGGGTCCTTGCCCGGGAAGGGGTCTGAAGGAGTTGGCTTGGGGTGTCATGCAACCAGAGGCTTCCCTGACGGCCCTCCCTCCACCCCATTCTCCAGCCAGCAGCCCATGCGCTTCAGTAACCGCTGCCTACAGATGATCGGTCGCTGTTGGCCCCACCTCCGGGCCCTGGGGGTTGGGGGTGCCGGCTGTGGGGTGCAGGGCCTGGCATCACTCGGTAAGCCTTTCCTTGGGACTAGGGTGGGGGTTGATGGGAAGCAAGCATGAGAGCAACACTGAAATCCCAGAGGGGCTCGGGCTGCAGCCTTGGTGGTGGCAGGAGCACCTGGGCGCTGCGCAGAAGGTGACCTGGGAGTTGTCAACAGGACCTCCCCTCTTTCTTCCTCTGCCTAGCGAGAAACTGCATGCGGCTGCAGGTCCTGGAGCTGGACCACGTGTCGGAGATCACCCAGGAGGTGGCGGCTGAGGTCTGCCGGGAAGGTCTGAAGGGACTGGAGATGTTGGTGCTCACAGCCACCCCCGTCACCCCCAAGGCCCTGCTGCATTTCAACAGTGAGCAAGGGAAATGTGGGGTGGGGTACAACTATTGCCTCTTACCATGCCTTGTCAGCACGTAGCATAACCAGCTTCCTGTCGCTCCTAGGCAGCAGGCACCAGCACTGGGGTCAGACTGACCAGGGTTCTAGTCCTGGCTTTGCCACCAGTGCCCTCTGAGGCCAGTGTGGCATTCAAGGCCTGCCAGCATCTGGTCCAAATGATTCAGTTCCACAGACATGTATTGCCCGTGCTCTGCCCATGTTGGAGACATGAGCTGTGGAACACCATCTGCCCCTCCATGAGCCTCCAGCCAAGGGCAGAGGGAGAACAGATGGGTTAAGAGCACAGGTTCTGGAGCTGCACGGACCTAGGTCTCAATTCTGGCTCTACTGCTTATTAGCTGCGTGACTTTGGGCAAATTACTATACTTCTCTGAGTTCTGTATCCCCGTTTTCTAGACTGGCTTTCTAGAATGGGTAGGAAGGTTAAATGAAATAATGTGTGTGAGCCCCCCTAGAACAGTTCTTAGGGTGAAGGAAGACTCCCCCTCCCTGGTGTAGACTCCAAATCATGCCTCCTCTGGCCCCCACCTCCCTCCAGCCACCCACTCCACTCGCAGTCATTCCTCCTTCATTTAGGACACAGGTGCCCAGCCCGGGCTGCTCACACCCAAATGAGACCACCATCCAGGACTGTTTGGCCCCTGGCAGGACCCCATGTCCTGAGCACTGAAGCTTCCTTGACCTTATTATTTCCAGGATCATCTTCTTGCCTCCCCTTCAGCCTCTTGGTCCCACCCTGACCTCCAGAACTAACAGCTCAGCCTCCAAAATCATGACCTCCAGGACCCTGTCAGCCTCCTGACTTTCTTGCTCCTCCTCCCCTGACTTCATGGCAACATCCAGTCCCTTAAACCTCTGCTTCCAAAATGTTTGCTCCGTCTGCCTTCATGCTCCAGTCGAGACTCATGAGCCTCACCTCGGCTGCTCTGCCCTTATAATTCATTTCCAGATGCCCGGGCCATAACACCACTGTCCCCTCTGCCAGGGAAGTTCCTAGAGCTCTGCACAATTGGCTCTTGCCCACTCATCTTCCCAGAGCCCCTGCAGCCTCTGCTCTTTGACCTTATCCTCCACCTTTTCCCCTTGTCCTGTGTGAGCCCCTGGGTGGTATGGGTCTGCTCTCCTCTTTATGTTCCCAGTGGCTGGCATGTGATTGTCTCTCAGTAGGTTTCTGATTTCATTAATTAGTGAGAGGAGAGGAGGCAGCTCCATTGCCCAGGCCAAACAGGGGCCTCCATCTTACCCACCTTTTCCCAGGCATTTGCCGGAACCTCAAGTCCATTGTGGTCCAGATTGGGATTGCTGATTATTTCAAAGAACCCAGCAGTCCTGAGGCCCAGAAGCTGTTTGAGGACATGGTAACAAAACTCCAGGTAAGGCGTTGACTCTGAGGCCACTCAAGATCCCAAGTGGCATCCCAAGGCTGGGCTGGTAACCTGGGCGGGTGATGGGAGGGCCCCGCCTGTCTGGCCCTGAGGGGAGACTAACCCAGGGTTTGGTCTGCAGGCCTTGCGACGGAGGCCCGGCTTCTCTAAGATCCTGCACATCAAAGTGGACGGCGGCTGCTAACCCGGGTGGGGGGCGGCAGGGCCCCTGCCAGCCCCACACCAGGGCACTCTCTTTGGACCTCCAGAGGGACCCTGCTTTGGACTAGACCTTCAGAGGCCTAGTGTTATCCCTGGCTTCCAGGGAGGGGTTGACAGCTTCCTGTCCTCCTCCTGGGAGAGTGGAGCGACAGGCCTGACCCTGGGCACTGCCTCTCCAGGGCAGGGGCTCGGACAGAAGTTGCCCTCCGACCCCCACCCCACCCCCAGCTGGAGCAGCCTTCTGGGCACAGCCAGAGAGGAGCTGAGTCACCACCAGCACCAGGTGTCACCGCCCGAGGATCTGCAGCAACTACCCAGTGGCTCCTCAGCTGCTCCGGCTGCTGGGGCAGCTCTCCCTTTCCTGAGGCCCCACCTCTGGGTCACAGGTGTCTGCTAGGCCCCAGGCCAGAGGGGGCTCCACAAGGCAGCTCAGACTTGGCAAGGAGGGCTCTTCTCCCCCTGCCCTGTCCCAGCCCTCTGTGGGGCACCCCCTTCAGATGGCTTGCCTGGGCTCTGGGTCCACTTTCTCCAAGGATAACACAGATAGGCCTAGGGGTCTGGGCATGTGGTCAGTCAGAAGTCGGGTGGGGGGGGAGGTACAGGAAGTAGTGGGAGTGGGCTTGGAAGGGCAAAACATTCACCCACAACTTCTCCCCAGGACCCTGAGACCACCCCTCCCAAGGGGAGAAATTGCCAGGCAGAGAAAGAGTTTGTATTGCTGTAGAAAAGACAAGACCCCTCCTCCAAGCCACCACATACTCCACTGCACACCAGAGCTGAATTCAGAGCTAAAAGGTGCATGTTTCTATACCCACCACCAATCCTGAGCCTCTGGAGGGGTGAGGCCCCAGCCTGGGAAACCCTGTCAGTGGGGAGCAGCAGTTCCTGTCTGTGAGGAATGTCCTTCTAATCCAGGTGCTTGGGCGGAACTCTGATGGCCTTTGGGTCCCCTAGGCTGTGCGGGAGGGAGTCACTGGGCTGCCTCTGTGCTAGGGCCTGGAGGAGGCCAGGAGGAGGGTGGTTTGGTTTGCTTCCTTGTCTGGCTAACTTGCTTAAAGATGTGGCCTTGATAGGGAGCCAGACCTGTGGGGCTAAGGACAAGGAAGAGCATCCCGCCCTCCCTCCTCAGTCTCACTGGCCCCATGGGCTGAGGGCTCTGTTGGGGGTCTTCTGCCTGGGGGCAGTGCTGGGGCCTGAGCCAGAGCCACTTGGCTTAGAAGCCACAGAAAACAAGTGGAGGTTTTTACTGCCCCTTGCATGGTTCCCCAAGGACCAGGTCCCAGCACTAAAGGCTCCAAAGACTCAGGCCTCCCCAGTTCCTCCTCTCAGAACTCCCACAGTGACGCTGAGGCCGTGGGTCCTGCCAACCTTCCTTGGAAAGTTCCTTCAAACATTAACGTAGATCCATCTTAGGGTTTCCTTCTCTCCTGTACAAGACCGGCTCTCGGCCCTAACCATCTGGCTGCTGGTCCTGGCTGGGGCTGGGGTCCTCTAGTTTCTCAGTCCTTGCCAAGGACCCAGTTTCTGCCACAGCCTGGCTTGGACATCAGGACCAGCCCTGTGCTGCCCTGCAACGCGTCCTCCAGACCTGGGGCCCCACAGGCTCAGCAGGGCACCCAGCTCCCTGCTTCCACACCCAGCTCTGTCCCCACTCTTTTCATTGGTGACTTTTCCTCCTGTGGCTTGTTCTAGCCCGGCCCTTTGAAAACCCCAAATACCAAGGGTATCATGTTGGCAACTCCCTGTCCAGTCTTGCATGAAGCCTTGGCGAAGTGGCACCCCCCACCCTTGCCCCAGAGCAGCTGGCTTCTTTGGCTCCCACCTCCCCGGTCCTGTCCCCAGGAGTTATGGGAAGACGCACAACTTTTCTCTGTCCTCCATGGGTCTGGAGGCCCACTCAGGGCCTGGCTGCCCTGGGTGCACCTGTCATGTCTTGCCACTGCACCCTCTATAGCCCCTGCTCCCTGTGACCCCAGGACCAGAGGTGCTGCCCTCCCTGTCTCCTGGACAAAGCACAAAGGGATGTCCTGCTTGGCCTGAGCCTGCCATACTGAGAGAGTTTTTCTGCCCTGGAAAGCCTCCATCCCTGAATACCACCAGGCTTTGGGCAATTTCTCCCGGGGTGGATGCCCACTGGAATGCCTGGCATCAGTCCCAGGAAAGGTCAGGGTGCACAGGCAGTGAGCTAGAGTGGGAGAAATGTGGTGCTGATAGGACTGATTCTAGTATTAGGTTCATTCACTCATTCATTCATTCATTCATGCAACAGCCCTGAGTACCACCAGCACTGGGGGCAGCAGAGTGAACAAGATGACTCTCCTGCTGGTGGGAAGTTTGCCTTTCATGGGGTTGGCTGTTTCCAGGAAATCCACCAAGTCCCCCATCTTGTATTTTCCAGCTGAGTGTGTGGAGGATGTGTGGGAGTCTGTGTTGCACAGGCCCATGCCCCTGCTAGCAGGAATGATGGGTCACAGCATGTCCCATTGCATACCTGCCCCTGGGCTCACAGGCTGGTGCACCCTGGCCTTCATGCATGCCCTGAGAACTGGCAAGTTTGCAGGGCTCCCAGGACCCCCCAACTTGACGCTATGTTCTGCCTCTCCTCAGGGGAATGAGGCCTGCTGCCAAGTGGGGAGCTTCTGTTGGCTGGGATGCTCCATTTGTTCACTTCTTTAGTAACCATACAGCGAGGGCTGAGGATGGGGAACAGGGATGGAGATCCTAGCCATCCCTGGAAGACCTCATCCTTCACTCACCCAAAGGAGAGCCCCCTCCTCTATATCTCACACCTAATAAGATGCAAAGAGGACTATCAGAGAGAGAAAACCAAGGCAGGCTGTGCTCCAGGCATCCCACTTGTGTGTACAAGTCCCATGGGGGTGGCCACTTGGTGTCCCTACCACCTCTCCCTGCTTACAGCCTGGCCCCAGCACCTGGAAGGCTTGGCACATTTAGCTTGAGTGCTTCATCATGCTTTTATTTGGGCTGCCTCCCCACAGCACTGGCAGGGAACAAGGGAGATGCTGTATGTATCTGGATCCCTGAGGGAGAGGAAGTGGACTGCCCAGAACCACGGTCTTTCACTGGCCAGGAGAGACCAACTAAAGAACAAGGCAGCTCATGTTTTCCTAGTCCCTGGAGAGTGGTTTGAGCCAGCCCCTCAAGAACTGCTTCAAAAAAAAAAAAGCCCCCTCCGTCCCAAGGCCTGCTGCTCTAAGGTTTGGCTCCATCCTTTGCCTTTGGGTCCTGCCTGTCCATCTGGTCCTGGTCTCCAGTCCTTTTGGGCCACAGGTGCAGAGCTGCTCAGGCCCCAGTCCCTCTAAAGGCGCTATGTTGAAGACCTTCCCAGAGTGATTATTGGTGCCAAAGACCCAGTTCCTGATGGACTTGGGGTGAAAACAGGAGAGATGGCGAGCGGGTGCAGGGCCCAAGTGCCCAGAAGAGTTAATCAAAACTGATGGGATCTATCCCAGCCTGTCAGTCCCTGGTGAGTGTAACTTCTCTCCCCCAGGGGCCTCGAACTTCACTCTTGACCCCTGGTGGCCACGCCTTCTCACCCAGCCTTGTCCCAGGCCTGCATTTCTGTATATATTGCTGTGTATTGTGTGTATGTATTTATTGCTGGACAAGTGTGTTCATCTACAGCCCTTGCCTAAGGATAAGGTTTAGGACTGTGTGAAGATCAGAAGACCAGGGCTGACCATGGCAACCAGCTCCTAGTCCTTCCCCAACCCCTTGGGACCCTGGCCAGTCCCAAGACTGCCCTGACAATCAGGCAGGCTTCCCTACCCGAGTCCAAGCCTCCCCTGCCACCGAGGGTGTGGCCCCAGGGAGGCTTGGCCTTGGGCTTCCCAGCCTCAGCTCTGCCCTGGCAGGGGTCTTGCCTTCGGCCACAGAGGCCTGAGGTGACCTAGGCTTGCTGCATAGCTGGCACCAGTAGGCTTGGCTCTGGCGGGCACTGCTGGTGGGGACCTCCACAGCTGGCCCCAGGCCCTGCCTTCCCTGCACAGCCAGGCTGCCGTGAGCCTGAACGGTGAGAGGGTAGCTTCCCCAACCCCAAGCACATCAGGCAGAGGGGTGGAGAGCATTTTTTGGTTTTGTTTCTGAAGTGGTGCCTGTACCTCCAGCCCCCAGGGGGCCTTCCCTGGCCCCACTTCTCCGCCCCCCCCAGGCATCACCATCCCAGCACTTTGCTCCACGTCACCCATGGATGCCCTGTGCCGAATGTATTTCAGTGTATGTATTTAAAAGGACTCACGGGCATCAGAAAATTTATGACTTTGTATCCAATAAAAGATGGTGAAACTGGAATATCCGCCTCAGGGAAGTAAATGGTAGGTGGCCACATTTGTTAGTGGGTGTCAGCAAGCCTTTCTGCAGCTAAGTGCACTGAGGCAGAAGGAGGTAGGTGACCTGAATGGTTTCAACGGGGTGAATGAAGCATTAGGAAGACCTGTCTCAGGACTGCAGACATCGCTGGAGGCCACACAGGTTACTGCGCCTGCCACAGCTCACTCCCTTTCAGTGTGTGCATGTGCACAAAAAGCATGGGTTGTCATTTCTGGTTCAGCAGGAGAAGCCATCTTTAGGGGCAACCCCAGCCTAAGGACAGCAGGAGCAGCAGGCAGTGCCCAGTCCCTCACCAGCTTGGCCACCTTCCTAGGAGGCTCTGGCCAACCAATCAGACTTTAGCCTGGGAGAGACGAAGCTGCTCCTTGTGGTCTGGCCTCAACTTCCCCATTTTACAAAATGGAGCTGCCCCAATGATTTAATTACTCAGGTCTTGAAATATTTAAAAATCAGAAAAAAGAACAGATGTTTAGGCTTAAACTGTGTGTCACTAGCAAAGTCTGCTTTTGAGTCTAACCAGGAGTGGTCAGACCCAAGAGATTAAAAAAAAAAAAAAAATCACTTCCCAGTTTCAGGCAGCAAAAGCTTAAATGGCTCAGGGTGACATATTTACCTCTAGTTTCAGTAATTACTAACCACAGCTAGCTGCATGCCCTAGCTCTCAGGACTAGTATAAATGAGGAGGCAGTAAGACCCTGCTGACTTCCAGTTAATACGTGCTGGCGAAAGGAACCCCCAAGACCACTGGTGGTTGAACTAAGACCAGGTGGGTGCTCCTTTAGCCACCTCCTCAGTGGACTTCTAAGAAGTCACGAGAGTTTAGAGGATGTGGTCTCTAAAACATTCCTCCAAGAGCCTTCAACCTCAAGATCTTGAACAAGAGGGACCCAAGACTAAGCCACAAGAATATGGAGGTAGAAGGGGAGACAAGGTAATCTAACACACCTACTCAAATGCAGAGAAACCCTGGCAGCAGGGCCACATTAGGCCAAGGCTAAATAAGATGATGGCAGAAGGAAGGGAAGCGAGGCCACATCTTTCAGCCACTCTAGGACAAAGCAACCAACCAAAGTGAAACTTCCAGATAGGGGCGACTCAGATGCAGCTTCCCCCTGGCAGGTTGGCCCCACACTCCACCTTAATGACCACAGGCTACTGAGAAGTCAGCTCGACAGGAGGGAAAATGATTCTCTTTTCTACCTGTTGGGTGAGTACATACAAGGCTAAAATCCTGAGCTGCAGTCAAGACCTTTATGAATAAAACTGCCCAAATAATGTGCAAAGTGAATTCTAAGTCTTAAATTTTATTTAAATAACCTCCAGTGAGAACAGAGTGGGCCAATTACTACCCCTTCCTTGTAATAACCAATGAATCAAGAGAGTAAGCGCAACCTGCAGCCAGCCTGCCAGCCACTCATGGGAGGTGCCTCTCAGTGGGGGCGGCCACGACCTCGGCCCCGACCCGCAGCTGGGGGAGCCTCCACTGTTGAGCGAGGGTTCTTGATGGTTTCATCTACGGACACGATAAGGCACGCAGCCTCGGAGGCTGCAGTCAGGGCATTGATCCTCACCATGGCTGGCTCCCACACAAAGGCCTCAAAGTTGTCAGCAATGTCCTCATTGTTGATGTCCACCCCGTACCACAAGCCCCCCTGAAAGAGCAGGAAAAGAGGGGAAGTAATATGGAACTGCTCCCAAATTTCTTATTGCATACCCTCCAAAGATTCAGATTGTCAGGAATCCTCCCTGAACTGGCCGGCCCGTCCCTGAGGAAGATGGCATCCGCCCAGGGCAGCACAACAGGAACCCGGAAGCACGCCTCCCCCCACCGGCCCCCGCCGACCACCTCCTTCACACCCTGGACATGCTGATCACTCAAGAGCTCTGGGCCCTCTCCCAGGCAAGGTGCCACGTTTGGGGGAGGCTCCATCCTCAGGTCACCTGAGGAATGTACATGAAACCATGGTTCTCAAGAGGAACACTTTCCAATCCCTTATTTCATTTTATCATCTTATTGCTTCCGTTAGTCCTCATTTTACAGATGAGGAAACTGAGGCACAGAGAGGTACAGTGACTTGCTTAAAGTCCTAACACGAGTCCAAAGCAAAGTCACTCACTCAGTGCTGCTGTGAGAGTGCTAAGCATTTAACAAACATCTCTAAACAAGTATTTGCTAAATGTCAAATGAACAAATTAAGTTCTCAGAGAGGTGACAACTTGGAGGTAGCAGTCCACAGCTGGCCTGCATGTCAGCAGGGCTCTGGAATGCTCCAGCAGCGCACTGCCTCCAGTGTGTGCTTTCAGGCCGGAGGCCGCAGGGTTCCTCTGGTTCCTCTCAGCACCCCGTGAGGAGCAATCACACTCTAGGTAGAAGCACTGAAGACACCCTGGAACCTCCAGTCCTGGCACTGTGGCTTTCCCTCTGCCCTCAGAGGAGGCAGTTAGTTGGTACTGGGTTTAGTTCTAGCCCTGTCACCTGGGCCAAACACACAGAGCTTGAGTAAGCACAACACATACTCAGAATCCAGCCCCATCCACCTAATCCTGGACCCCGAAGAGAGGAAGGACCCACCTGGGCATGCCGAGCCCGCAGCTTGTTGAGGATGTTTGTGGCATCAAAGCCAGCATTGTCACACAGCTGGCGTGGGATAATTTCCAAGGCCTTGGCATATGCCCCAATCAACAGCTGCTGTTTTCCTGGAATGGTCCTTGAGTAATCCCGCAGGTACTTGGAGAGCTCCATCTCAATGGCCCCACCTCCTGCCACCACTGAATCGTTCTGTAGAGACCAGATCCACCTCTCAATGCAAGCAGGCTCCAGGCCAAGCTCCAGCCACAGCCAAGTAGGGCCACTCAGTCAACAGGCCCTCGAGCCCAGAGAGAATGGTTCCTCATTTCTTCCCCCATCCCAAGCCCCAGACATGGCCCTCGTCTGGCATGATCCAACTTCAATCTGGTGAACCTTATGGTTTCTGACCATCATCAAGGTCACCTGTAGCTTGAGGGCACTAACACAGTCCCTGGGATGGCTGACCACATTAGCTCCACAGCTGCTCACGAGAGGAGGTCTTAGCCTTCAAGCAGCGTGACCTACTGTGAGAGACTGAGGTGGTTTCTCTATGATTTCTGAGGCAAGTCAGGGCCCACATGCCACGCAGGGAAGGACAGTTTATACAGGGAAGGAATCACCACACAAACCCAGGGACTCGTCAGCTCGGGAGGGAGAGTGGGCTGTACGGGTAGGAAGTCCCCAGCCTAGTACCTTGATGGCCCTCCTGACAATCATGATGGCGTCGTGCAGGGACCGCTCTGTCTCCTCCATAAACTGCTCGGCACCACCACGGAGGATGATAGTGCAAGTCTTGGCCTTGGGGCAGCCAGTGAAGAAATTGTACCTACACCCAGGTCAAATCACATATGTGAACTCCTTTCTGCTGCCAACCTGCTGCGTTCTGACCTCACCAAGTCCTCCCAACACTTAGCAGCTGTTCTTCTGTTCCTCACTAAGGTTCTCCAATCCGGCCCTTAAAGACATTCTTGGAAAGGTCTAGGGCTGTACCACTGGGGCATAAAGGACAGAGTCAGACTTTAGACCCAACTTGATCTTCTCTCCCCAAACACTCTATATCTGAGCTCTTTCTGCCCCAAAAGGTGAGTTTTCAAAGAGTAGCATATGCTATATGTATATACTACACCCAAAAGATGACAGAAGGCCAGGCCCAGGCAGGTGTCATGAGCTCAGCCAACAAGCAAGCCCAGGCCTGCGGCTCACCTCTCGCCTCCAATCTGGGTCTCTTCAAAGACCTGGCAGTGGCCCAGTACATCTGCTGACAGAGCATTCACACTGGTCTGGATGGAGCCTCCACAGGCCTGAGGAGCACAAGAATGCAAGATTATCTAGCAGTGAGGCTCACACAAGGCCAGAAGTTACCTAGTCTTAAAGCTAATTCCCATGCTAGACCCTGCCATGGTGCCCTAGAGCCCTCTGCACTGGATAACTCACTCTCTCCCTTGACCTCCAGGTGACCCTTACCCCCTCTGGAAGACGAGAAAACAAAACAGAACTAAGACACGTGAAGGGAAAACAGGCCTAGTTAAAGGGAGATGGGGATTCTTCGCTTCACCCAACACCCCCTCCCCCAAAGCAGGGTGCATTGGGCCCAGCAACTGAAGTCAGGATCAGTGCTTTGGACCTAAAGCTTCTTTCATGAGATGCTCAAGAAGAAAGGGAAGAACCTGGCTGGAAGCATTAACACTGGGCTTATCCAGCTAATCAGAACCTTAGTGCTGGGTTCCCTCACAAATCCAATTTCCTGACGTGTTTTGGTTGGACTCACTTCTGTACACTGAGCACACACACTGGGACTGGAGTGCTTCAGGGGCCTAGATGGATATGCCAACCAAACAGTGCACTGCAGTACACCAGTGGTCAATGAAAACCCCCCCAGGGCCAGGAAGACCAAGAAGCAGCCTGTCAAAGTTTGGTTACCATCATTGTCCTCTTCAGATCCTCCTCTGGCACTCGGCCAGCACAGAACATGTCCCTGTCGGCAAAGTACTGGGTAGCCACATCGCCAATGGGGAGTTTGGACAAGACGACTTTGGCTCCGGAATGATGGATCCTCTCTAACTTGTCATAGAGAATGTTCCACTCAGCATCAACAATTGCCTGATAATCCTAAAGAGACCCAGAAAAGGATGAAGGTGATTTGGAGCGCAGGTTAGCACATGCGGTAGGCTAAACTATACCCCCTCAAAAGAAATATGCTGATTTATTTGGAAATTAACAGGGATAAACAGAGTAACCTCTTCTTAGTCCAAATAAACAAGGACCCTATAAGATAACTTAGGAACCACCTACAACTTTCAAAAACAAAATCAGAAAGTAACCTGAGGACTGGGAGCTACCCCAGTTAGCACTGCCGAAGTGTGACAAATAGTCTAGCCTGGCTGAGCTCTAG